GGACAAGTCTGGCCCCAGGGATTCCATCCCGTCCTGGCCCCACCCCGCTTCTCTCTACTGTGTAGTTGTATACTGCCTGGCTAGTGGACACGTTCACACAGTGTGAGCATGTCTCAGCCAGGCAGTATGCAACTATGTACTGATACTCATGATAATAATAAAACTTGTTGTTGTTGTTGTTGTTCGTCCATCGTATTCGAAGAGGACCTTGACATCTAACAGGTTATGGACTGTTCATGGTGTGTCCGCAAATGGCTGATAAGGCCGATACGGGCACGGAATGTTCTACCACAGGTCGGGCAGACATGTGTGGGCACCACTGTTGCAGCTTTTGCAACTCTGGCTTTACGGAGTGCTCGCTTCTCTTGTGCTATGGTTGTCCTTCTGGCTTCAGATGTTTGACAGCCTTGGTAGATCAGCGTGTGCCATGTTGATCGGTCTTGTGCCAGGGTCTCCCAGCAGGTGGTGTCAATATCCAGGGACTTGAGAGAGGCTTTAAGCGTATCTTTGTATCGCTTCTTTTGTCCCCCGTGCGATCGCTTCCCTTGAAACAGCTCACCATAGAAGAGCTGTTTAGGGATGCGATGATCTGGCATCCTTGCAACATGGCCTGCCCAGCGTGTCTGAGCTTTCATCAGCAGGGTGTAAACTGACGGCAGACCTGCTCTAGAAAGGAATTCTGTGTCTGGCACCTTATCCTGCCACCGGATCCTCAGAAGTCTGCGGAGGCAAATCGTGTGGAAGTGGTTCAGTTGCCTAGCGTGCCTCCTGTATACAGTCCAAGTCTCACTGGCGTACATCAGGGTAGTTAACACTACTGCTCAATAGACTTTAAGCTTTGTAGCAAGGCTTATTCCACGGCGGTCCCACACTTTGGTCAACAGTCTGCCGAACGCAGAGCTTGCCTTGGCGACTCTGCAGTTGACCTCGATGTCAATTGTCACTGAGCGGGAGAGGGTGCTGCCAAGATATGTAAATTGGTCCACTGCTTGCAGCTTTTGTCCCTTCACTGTGATGGTGGGCACTTGATGCTGAGCTTTTGGAGCTGGCTGGTGCATCACTTCGGTTTTCTTTGTGTTGATGAGAAGGCCGAAGTTGTCGCATGCTGCTGCAAATTTGTCCATGCTGGCTTGCATTTCCTGCTCTGATCCAGCATTCAGGGCGCAGTCATCAGCAAAAAGGAGATCTCGTAACACAGTCTCTTTTATCTTGGTGACAGCCTGGAGTCTTCGCAGGTTAAACAATTTCCCATCGGTCCTGTATCTCAGTCTGATTCCCAAGGAACTGTTCTGAAAGGCGTCTGACAGCATGGCTGAAAACATTATGCTGAACAGGGTCGGTGCCAGCACACACCCTTGCTTGACGCCGTTTGTGACGGGAAAGGCCTCTGAAGCTTCTCCATCATCCAAAACACGAGCCGTCATGCCGTCGTGGAACTGACGTACCATCAAGATGAATCTGTCAGGGCACCCAAACTTCGACATGATGCGCCACAGACCTTCGCGACTGACAGTGTCAAAAGCCTTGGTGAGATCCACGAAGGTGGTGTACAGTTCACGATTCTGCTCTTGACACTTCTCTTGAAGCTGTCGGGCTGCGAAGATCATATCCACCGTGCCACGCTCTTTGCGGAAGCCGCACTGTGTCTCGGGTAATAAACCCTGTTCCAGGTGGTTAATCAGACGATTCAGCAACACTCGTGCAAGGATCTTACCTGCGATGGAAAGCAGTGATATTCCTCTATGATTATCGCAAACTTGTCGATTTCCTTTCCTCTTGTAGAGGTGTACGATAGACGCGTCTTTCAGTTCCTGAGGAATAGATCCTTGATTCCAGAAGGACTGGAACAGCTGAGTGAGTTTGTTGACAAGCACTGCACCACCACCCTTATAGACTTCCGCTGGAATCGCATCAGATCCTGGGGCCTTGCCACTGGACAGCTGGCTGATGGCCTGTAAGGTTTCAGTCTCTGATGGTGAGACATCCAGGCTGTGGTTGATATCCGCCTGGGGCATTCTATCAATCGCCTCGTTATTGATGGAAGATGGGCGGTTCAGTACGGATTGGAAGTGCTCAGCCCAACGCTGTAAAATCAGAGCCTTCTCAGTAATGAGAGTTGCACCATCTGAGTCCAGTAGAGGGGAACTCCCTGAGGGCTGAGGTCCATACAAGGATCTAAGGGCTTCGTAGAACCGTTTGGCATCGTTTCTATCAGAAAACTTCTGGATTTCATCTGCTTTGGCACTCAACCAGGAGTCCTGCATCTTACGAAGCTTGTTCTGTACGATCCTGCGAATGTTGTTGAAGGCATTTTTCTTAGCTGTTGACGATGGGTCATTCTGGTGAGCACGGTGAAGGCGATGCTTTTCAGCAAGTATGGCCTTGATCTCTTCATCGTTTTCATCAAACCAGTCCTGCTGTTTCCTGTGTGAGGGTCCAAGAACCTTTAGTGCAGAAGAGTGCACAATATCCCGGAAGCGTTCCCAGTCCTTCTCAGCATTTTCCTCTAATTGCAGCTCTAAAAGTTGGTTGCCAAGATCTTCTGCTAGTAAAGTTGCTGTGTTGGGGTTCCTCAGTCTACTGACATTGATCTTTTTCATCACAGCTTTGTTTCCCTGCGGACGTCTCTTTGGCTTGATGCGAAAGCTTAATTTGGAGATGATAAGTCTGTGGTCAGTCCAACAGTCAGCACTCGGCATGGCCTTGGTCACCCTTACATCCTGTCTGTCTTTCCTCCGCACAATGACATAATCAATGAGATGCCAGTGCTTAGAGCGTGGGTGCATCCAGGACGTCTTTTTGCGAGTGGGCAGGCGGAAGATGGTATTGGTGATGATCAAATCATGAGCCGCACATGTCTTCAGTAATAGTAGGCCATTGCTGTTACATTTACCGATTCCATTTTTTCCAATGACGCCATCCCAGGCAGTGTGATCAGATCCTACTCTCGCGTTGAAATCGCCAAGTAGAATCAGCCTGTCAGTGCGCTTCACGGATGAGAGTAGGGCATCGAGATCTTCATAAAACTTGTCCTTTACTTCATCCGGATTCGTCATTGTGGGCGCGTAAGCGCTGATCAGTGTGGCTTGCTTTCCTCTCGGTAGTGGAAGATGCAGTGTCATGAGTCGGTCATTCACGCCCTTGGGAAGACTGGCAAGTTTGCGGACAAGATGATTCTTAACCGCAAAGCCAACTCCAGATTCACGACGTTCGTCACTGCTGCGTCCACGCCAGAAGAATGTGTAACCACCTCCTGTTTCCATGAGCTGACCTTCATTTGCTAGACGAGTTTCACACAGTGCCGCAATATCGATGTTAAATCTTGTGAGCTCTCTGGCGACCAGGGCTGTTCTTCTTTCTGGGCGGTCTGCTGAAGGGTTGTCCTGAAGCGTGCGTACATTCCATGTGCCAATAGTGAGTGGTGTCACCTTGCATTTTGTTCGAAATTTTATTGTTCGACCGCATGAGATGGGATCCCCTCCAGCCGCGGTAAGCTGGCCAGGGTTCTGTGAAGCAAACAATGTTTAGGGCACCTTTTCTAGCCCCTTCCTCTTACTACGGAGGTGAGCAGTGCAATCCTAAAGAGGGCTGCTCAGTCACTCAGGTAGACGCCGAATCCAGCTGTTGCTTCCACCAGCAAGAAGACGACCATTAGACCTGAGCCGCCTGTGTGCAGGTCCGCGGCTACAGCTCCCAGTGTATCCACACCTGCTGCTTCGTCGCTCGCCCGTCGCCACAGGACTTAGGAGATGTCGAGATGTCAAGACTTGCGCGTGAATTGGATTAAAGTGAGGGAGAGGTGCGCATAGTCAGCCTCACTCTCTCTTCCCAGATTCCATCTTACTCCAATGGCAGGACTAAAGTCGAGACGGTTGGAGATGGGCTGGGCGCAGTGGTTGACCAGGGCATCTTTCATGTCTTGCCGTGCTCTTAGCGTACCACATCGCTTGCAGAAACCACCTTCATGACCGTTGGTCCTATTCTAGTAGGTCTCATCCGCTCGATCCGCCGGAGTCTGTCTTCACATGCTCGGGATAGACAAGTCCCTATCTCACCGAAGGTCGATGACCCGACGGCTACTCTCAACCTGGTTTAGCCAGCCTGTCGAAGCTGTTGCCCGGGGTGTGGCCGCTGCACATGCTACAGCTACTAGGAGCCACAGGTGAGAGTTGAGTGACAAGTGGGGACCAAAGGTGGACGAGCTGCCCTAAAAGGACACGACATGCCCGTACATCAGAGGTGCTACCCCTCCCTGAACACCCCATACACCCCAATAATAAATAAAACTTACTTACTTACTTACTTAATTAGAAAATACCGGACATTTATATGTCCGGTATTTTCTCAATTTGTTTCCCGGACAGAAAGCTCAAATACCAGACTGTCTGATTCAAAACCAGACACCTGGCAACCCTATTCCCCACCTTTCTCCTGGGACCCTGCAGAAGGCTTTCTGTACTCTGGCATCTGCCATTGCCATGGGAGGGGTGAGATGCTAGTTGGGACAGAAGAATATCAGCTCTAGGATACCTGCATAAGGTCCAGAAGCTATAGGAGCTCCTTGGAGTCTATATGGGACATCTTGCTTCCCTCCACAAATCCCTGCATGAGGCCACCAAGCATTTGGAGAGATTGGAAAGTTGGAAGAAAGTCTCCTCCCTCTCTGACATTCCTCTGCAGGAGGTTTTGTGCTGACAATTGCTCTCTCTTTTAGAGGGTCTTGTAATGGGAAGCATGTAACCTATGATACACAAACGGTATTGATTGGAATTCATGTGTTGTTTGTATAAGCACACAGAGGTTATGAGGATAAATTCATTAATCTTCGTATAGGCTTGGGGATCCCATTAAGAATATTTTAAACAATATAACTGCAAAGTGTTATTTTTACAAATGAAACAACTCAGACATTCTGTGTCTTGTTTCAAGATGGAATACTATATTGTAAGTTTCAATCTTGGACAGTATAACATCTGGTTTTGATTTTTTTTAAACTGCAGGGTGGAAATATCTACAGCCTTAATAACGCAGTGAGGGAAGAAAACTTGTCAGCTGGATCAGCTGGATGGTAAGCAGGGTGCACTGTAGTCTTAACAGAGCTTCACATAAAATAGTGTGACAGTTTTTTATTTGTACATTTAAGTTTGGCTTCAAGTGTGGTTAGCAGTAAGTCCAAATGATGCATTTGTTCCCTTAGGGTTGGATTTTTACGTATCCTTTTTTTTTTTGCTAGCTCTGGGATTATGCTAATTAATAGATGTTTGAATTAGAGCCACAAAGCTTTCATAAAACTATTTTCAGACTCTAATCTATAAGCATGAAAGCTATATCGTAACTTATCTTAAGTATGACAGAAGGATAGTTGAGTGCAGTATTGAAGGTTATTACAAAGATGATAAAAACTGACCAGTCCTTTTCTTTTCACACATTTCCATAATGAATGAGGATTCGCAATAAAAGAATGAAAAGCAGATTTAAGATAAAATTAAAAGAGATTCACCACTGTGCAAAAAGAGCTTAATTGGATCTTAAGTTGAGCCCAGGTGTTGTGCTGAATTCTATCCACAATGAGTAGCCAGCCTTTGAAAAGTATTGTAGGGGCAGAGAGGAAAGTACTGGATGGATAATTTTATGACCAGTAATTTATTTTATAGCAAGTTTGTGTCCTGGTCCTCTGTTGCTCCCTTTCCACTCCCTCTGTTCAGCTACTTAGAACTTATCTCTGTGGTAGCTGGGGTACTGGTTTAGAGAGCAGGGACTGCCCACCTGATATTCCATCTGCAAGCAAGCTGGGGTATATCTTCCTATGTGCCAGCCAGTAAAGTTGATTGTTTGTTGAATAAAGAAGTCAACTGTTCTCTGGAAGGGAGTGTCAAAGCCTACTTCTCCCTGGAAAAGAAGAGGAGGAATTGTGATTTTGGGTTCATTCCTGTGGTTCCTCGTTGGATGATGCAACTATGTGCTGCCCTGTGCTTAAGTCTGAACCTTTTTGACACTTCCTGTGGTATCCAGGGCTGTTATGCACCCTGCTACAACCAGCTCCTACTGTGAGGAAGCCTTGTCGGTACTCACCTGGACCCAGCTCCCTGCTTAAAAGCTGGCTCCCCATGATCACTGGCTCCCACCTGCCTCCCCCCACCGCACTGTTGCCTCTGATACAGAGGCAGCAGCATGAGGAGCCAGTATATGCGGGGAACTCCCACCTGTCATCCGCCCACTCCACTCGCACTGCTGTTCTCAGAGGCAGCAACATGGTGGGGAGGGGGAGGGATGCTGCATGTAACCATGTTACCTTCATTGGTTAACTATTTACATGTATACACTATCACATGCCTAGTTGAATTCAGTGAAGTTACACGAGTGTAGCTTGAGCAGAATATGGACTACTGATTTTATTCTTCTATAGACAGTGCATTGATTAATGTAATATGATCCTTTATTAAGACTGTTCGCATGGAACTGCACAAACAGCTGCCTTTCCTACAGTGCCACTAAGGGCACGTCTAAACTACATTCCTCTTCCGAAAGAGGAATGTAAATGAGCCTGATCAAAAATGCAAATGAAACGTGGATTTACAAATCTTGCACTTCATTTGCATAATCGCGTGTGAGCACTTTTTCGAAAAACGGTTTTCAGTTTTAAGCAGTTCCGGAAATTCATGCCAGTGTAGACACAGCCTACAGGCAAATTCACTGGTAAAGATAAACAGTAAAAGAAGTTTATTGACTACAAAGATAGATTTAAGTGACTATAAATTAGGCAATTCATCAGAGTAGTTATCAAAATAAAATAAAATAAAAATGCATAATGTAAGCACACAACTCTATTAGACTAGGCAACAACTAGATCAAGCAGTTTTTCCTCACACTACTGAATATTGCAATCCATAGTACAGATTTCACCTTTGAAATTTGGACCAGTTCCCTCTGTTGGAGTGTTCAGAATGTCCTTATTGCTTGCAGCATGGTGAGGCAGGAGAAAGGCAAAGTATAGGCCCCTGTGTTTGTTTTTTATGCCCTCAGACCATGTGCTTGGAAAATAGAAATCCAGGCATGTCTGGTCGGCCTTGCTGAGTCTTCAGGCCAGGTTAAGCAATCTCCTGCTGTGTCTACACTGGCATGAATTTCCGGAGCTGCTTAAAACGGAATACTATTCCGTTTTCAGTTTTTCCGGAAAAGGAGCATCTACATTGGCAGGCTGCTTTTCCGGAAAAGCCCTTTTTCCGGAAAAGCGTCTGTGGCCAGTGTAGAAGCGCTTTTCTGGAAAAGAGCCCCGATCGCCATTTTCGCAATCGGGGCTTTTTTCCGGAAAAGACTACTGGGCTGTCTACACTGGCCCTTTTCCGGAACAGTGTTCCGGAATAAGGACTTATGCCCGAGCGGGAGCAGAATAGTTTTTCCGGAATAGTGGCTGATTTTGCACAGTAGAGCATCGTTGCTTTTCCGGAAATTCAAGGGCCAGTGTAGACAGCTCGCAGCTTATTCTGGAAAAGCGGCTGATTTTCCGGAATAAGTGGCCCAGTGTAGACACAGCCCAGCTGGTGTGGCCTCGTGCAAATGAGTCATTGCATTGTAGCTCCCTTGCTGGGCAGTGGCCACTGACATCCCACCTGGGTGTTGGTTACTGTCCTTGCTGTTGTCTCTGGTAAGCTAATATCTGGCTGATTGGCTAATTTACATCACGTTTTAATGACATACACCACATTCACGTAATTTCATATGCATTGGTGCTATACATATACGGACAGAGAAATAACTTTCAGCTGATCACAATCTTTCCTTTATTCCTTACAAGATCATGATGGTCTAAAAATGAGGAATATAGGGGTTACAAGGCACTCCCAAAACAATGTCACACGTGTCCACATCAAAACAATCACCCACATATCAAAAGTTTCAGAGGGGTAGCCATGTTAGTCTAGATACTGCAGGTTTCTTTTGGAAAAAGCTTTTCTGGAAGAGATCATCCAAAAAAACTTCTTTCGAAAGAGAGCATCCACACTGCCAAAGCGCATCGAAAAAGTGATCTCTCTCTCTTCCACATCCACACACACCTTTTTCTGAAAGAGCTCTTTTGGAAAAGGCGTTCTTCCTCGTAGAATGAGGTTTACCAATGTCAGAAAAACCCCTCTGTTTTTTTCGATTTACTTTTGAAATAATGCAATAGCAGTGTGGATATAAGTGAAGTTTTTTTCAGAAAAATGGCCATTTTTCAAAAAAAAAACAACCCAAAACCCTGCAATCTAGACGCACCCTAATAGAAAAAACTTAAACAATGATTTTAACAACCTACACCCCACCATCAGTCTCAGCCTGGACCATTTTACACGAGAGATCCATTTCCTGGACATGACAGTACAAATCAGCAATGGAAAATTAGACACCACTCTCTACAGAAAACCCACTGACTCATACAGTTACTTACATGCTTCCAGCTCCCATCCAGAACATACCATATGATCCATCATCTATAGCCAAGCCCTTCGATACAACCGCATCTGCTCTAATCCCACTGACAGAGACCAGAAACTTCAGGATCTCTACCAAGCATTTATAAACGACAACTACCCACCCAGAGAAATAAAAAAGCAAATTGAAAGAGCCAGACGAATACCTAGAAACCATCTACTTCAAGACAGACCCAAGAAAACCAACAATAGAACACCGCTTGTCATCACCTACAGCCCCCAACTTAAACCTGTCCAACACATTATCAATAAACTACAGCCTATACTGGAACAGGATACTTTCCAAGAGGCTCTGGGAGACAGACCCATAGTCTCCTATAGACAACCACCTAACCTCAAGATGATTCTTACCAACAACCACAGGACATACCACACTAATACCAACCCTGGTACCTTTCCTTGCAACAAACCCCATTGCCAGCTTTGTCCACATATTCACTCTGCTGATACCATTATTGGACCCAGCCAAGCGAGTTATAAGATCAAGAACACATATTCCTGCGCATCCAGAAATATAATTTATGCAATCGTGTGCCGAAAGTGTCCGTCCACTATGTACATTGGACAAACGTTTCAGACACTTTGCCAAAGGGTCAATGTCCACAAAAATAGATATCAGACAGGATCACAAAGAAAAAACAGTTTCTTGCCATTTCAACCAGAAAGGACATTGTCTCAACGACTTGATTACCTGCATCCTGCTTCAAAGACCTTTTAAGACTTCACTTCAAAGAGAATCCTCTGAACTGTCATTCATGCTTAAATTCGACACTTTATGCTCAAATTTGAATAAAGATGCTAATTATCTTACCCATTACAAAGATAGCTTCCCCAATTATCACCTCTAATATCATTAGCTCACAGACATTTAACTTCCCCCCTTCCCTCCCCGCCATCCCCCTTCTGTTCTGAAATTTGATTTGTCCTTTTCATATGTGTTCATTTTTTTTAATTGTATGCTTTGGTATATATGGTTGTGACTATTTGATCTGAGGAAGTGGGTCTGGCCCACGAAAGCTCATCACCTATTAAACCATCTTGTTAGTCTTTAAAGTGCTACACAGTCCTGTCATTTTTATAGGAATTGGTGTGGAGCTTGTCTCTGTTACCAACAGAAGTTGGTTCAGTAAAAGATATTACCTCACCCATCTTGTGTGTCTGTCTTTGGAAGAGACATTTATACATACGTGGTAACAGCATTGTGTGTAAATGCTCAAGAGGGCATTTCACTACATCTCATGTTTAAAACTCTTTCTAACATGGATGATTTATGTCCCAATGGGGATTTTTCTCTGGTTAACATAGTTTACTGATAAATGAACTGTAGAGAGTTCTTTCCAGCTAGACATAAAATGAGATCTGAAGAAGGGAATGCGAGCATGCACCTAATATTGATAGAGACTAAATTGCAAATAGTAGTTCAACTATATAATGTTAATTTTCCATCCTTTTACCTTGCTTTCCATGCTTAGTAATAACACCAGTGGTGTCCCTGCAGATGGTAACAGATATGCAAGTGGTTTCGTTTGTAAGACCTGCGGTCAGCTGTTCTATACTGAAAAAGGTTTGAACAGCCATATGTGTTTCCAAAGTGAACAATGGCATTCGCCACCTGGGAAGACAGAACAGCAGGTAAAGTAAATTGAATCCCTCAGTGCTTGTTAGTTAATTGGAGTTTGAATTAAAGTCACAAAGATTCTTTAAAACCTGTTCCTAGATTATGGGGATAAAAATGCCTTGAAGCAACTTAACCTTTGTATTGAAAATTAAGAATAATAGGCCAGAATCTAGAATTGTGAGCATATTAGACATACTTCAAGTGACTATTGTTTTAGTAGGCAACTTTAAACAATTGTAATGTTTCCAGAGTGCTGTTTCTTACAACATTTTCTACTGCGTAGATAAGAAATATTGCGTTTTGGTCACTTTTTATAAAATAGAATATTTTTAAGTTCAATTACTGTGGCATCAGAGTCTAGACTTAGGATTTGAGAGGCAAGTTTGGTGTGGAGTGTGGCATAATGGTTATAAAAAGGAATTGCTACTTATTCCTGGGTCTGTCACTAACTTGTTATGTTACTTTGCAGAAAGTCTTTGGGTCTTTGTTTTTTTCCATATATAAAATAATAATAATAATAATAGTGATGTAGCTGAGAGGGGTATTGCGAGAATTGTTTGCAAAGCACTTTGAGATTCTCAGTGAAAGATGCTATGAGATATGCCTGTTGTTGTTATTATTGTCATTATTTATTAGTCTTTTTTGTGTAAAGGTGTACAATGCAGAAAACTTAAACCCTCAGAAATTGTCACTCAAGTCTCTAGGAGATGGAAACACTTCATCAGAAATTAAGAAAACTTTAGAAGATGTACCAGTGGCACCTCTAGTCATCCCAGTCTCTGTACCTGTGACAGCTGTGAACCAACAGACCAGGAACAAAGTGGGTTGTGATTTGTGTTTTTCTAAATGGTCGACATTGACTTTGGTGTGATGAATCCTGTGAGCAGTTGTTCACCAGTATGTGAAATCCATCCCTGCCCAGATGGTTAGGAAAAAGCCTATGCACCACTTAGGTCCTACTTAAACCCTTAAAATAGAATTTGTGGCACTTCAATGGTGATTGTCTACACAGCAGTGGATCTCACTTCAGTGTAAGGGATTGATGAATAGAATCTATGAGATTAATCAGTTGGAAATATATAAATCTGCTAATACAGTAACCCCATCTAGAAGATTGTGAGAAGTATCTGAGGGTATGTCAACACCACCACCCTAGTTCGAACTAGGGTGGTAATGTAGGCAACTGGAGTTGCAAATGAAGCCCGGGATTTGAATTTCCCGGGCTTCATTTGCATAAAGCCGGGCGCCGCCATTTTTAAATGTCCGCTAGTGCGGACTCCGTGCCACGCAGCTACACACGGCATGGACTAGGTAGTTCAGACTAGGCTTCTTAGTCCGTGCTGCGTGTAGCCGCGCGGCACGGAGTCCACACTAGCGGACATTTAAAAATGGCGGCCCCCGGCTTTATGTAAATGAAGCCCGGGAAATTCAAATCCCAGGCTTCATTTACAACTCTGGTTGCCTACATTACCACCCTAGTTCGAACTGGGGTGGTAGTGTGGACATACCCTACATTATGATGTGCATTTACACAGTTAAGGCAACATTAAACTGTGTTTATTTAATTTGTTAAATTCAAAACATAATTTTTCTCTGTATTTGGGTAGTATTTGCCTTCTCTGGTAATTGTCACCAATAGCAGGTGAATATTTAAACTAAGAAGTTAGCAAATATGCTTTCCTAGCAAAATTGTAAGGAAGTCACTGCAAATATTTACTTTATTTTACTATCAGCACTGCTTGGTGGATTTGATTATTGTGTAGGATAATCATTTGATTTAAGGCAAATTAGGGCATATCTGAACTCTTTAGGAAGAATTCACAATGATAACTCTTTCAACTCTACAAGATTACAAGGAAGCTTATGTAAGGCTCTGTTTTATATTCCTTGCTCACATGAATACTTCCATTAACTTAAATGGGACTAATTGCATGAATTAGAGCTGCAGAACCTCTTCTTTCTTTAATTCTGTTCATTAATCTTGATGTTCACTGTTAATTACTAGTCCCAGAAATAAATCACAAAATTGAGATTATAGAAAAATCCAAACATGCAAATGAGATGAGTCCCATGTAATTTCAAGTTTTCTCCTCTGTTAAATGATTTTAAGTGTCTCATGTTGGCCATAAGCTACACATCTTAAATGTCAGAGACTCATACTTGTTCCTATGGTCAATTAACATTTCAAATAAAATGTCTCCTCAGGTTAATGAAAAGGAGAGCCATGATGAGAAGGACCTCAGGAAAAGCTTGCCCCAAAAAAAGAGGAAGAGGCAAACTCGTCCCAAATCTCTCTTTATTCCACCTCTTCCGGCCTTGTGTGCTGAGATGCAGCCAGCCATGGGAGGATGCCATGAGAGTAATCTTCGATCACCAGTCTACATAGTTGACCACCTCCTGAGAGACTTATTCCAAAGCTCTCCATATACCCCGCCTCCTATGCTCAGCCCGATACGGGAGGGATCAGGGCTTTATTTCAGCACCCTCTGTTCTTCCTCTACTAGTTCTGGTCACAACAAGCTGTACAGTACCATTCTAGGTAATCAAAATCACAATGTTCATATCCAGATAATAATAATAATAACAATTAATATAATATAATATAATGAAAAGAAATCTAGTTTGCTGGCGTTAGCTGTATGGGCCCAGGTTATTGCCCTGCCCTTTGTGCAGACATTTACTGTAATGCAGAATGGGTGTAAAATGCTACTAAATTAGCAGAGGAGTAGCTGTTTTACTCTGTTTCAGCAAAAATAATGAGGAATCCTGTGACTGCAGCCCACTTGGTCAGAACTTCATGCTTCTGACCAAGTGACCTGCAGTCCACAAAAGCTTATGCTCAAATAAATATGTTGGTCTTTAAGGTGCCACAGGACTCCTCATTTTTTCTTGCACTACTTGTCTGTTGTGTTGGTCTAAGCATTCTAGCATTTGACAGTTACACCGAAATGTACAAATATTAGTATAGAGGCATCAATATTCAGTCATTATATATGTTCTCATTCTGAGTGCCAAGTATTACCAGTCCTAAAACAGCGGTGTACATAACTGAGTTAGTATAAATCTGTATTTTTCTGCTCTGCAGCCTTGGGCATAGCTCTCCCTCCTCCAGAGTCTGATTATTCCTGCTAAAAGCATGTATAATCTGTGGTTGGCGGACTTCGGGGTATACACAGCACTGCTCAGGAGTTTGCAACTCCTGTCATAGATAGCCAGCAAGAATAGGAGCAGACATCTTCCAGTTTGTGCTTCCTGTACTGGCTGCTGGTTTCTGAAAAGAGGAATAAAATTCCTGCCAGAATTTGGCTCCAGATCCCATATTGTATGATATTTAAATTTCATTTATGATTCTAAAATAAAGGCCTGTTATGGCTATTGGAGGAGAACTTGTGATGAGTGGTCAAAAAACCCTCAAGCTCCCGAAAAATTGGGTGAGGATGTTTCATGTTGAGAGCCTGTTCTTGAAAGACATAATCATGGGAGTAGTTCCGCTGGAATCTGTGAGAATGCCAAGGTAGGTTTTGAGAGGTTTTAGATAAGCATGGCGAGTCAGGCCAAGGGAAGGGGTCCTGTGAATGCGTTTATCTTCATTGTATTTATATTTTTGTAGGCAGAATGGATGGAGACTTTGGATTCTCTCTTGTGAAAGATAACACCAAAATCAGCATAAAGCCGTAAGTAGGGACAGAGTAACAATTAATAAAAAACCTTCCCCATTACTCTGTATTGTAGCATTAAACAAGTGACTGAGCAGGGCCATCCCTAGGGTGGTGCAGGGCCTGGGGTATCCCTCCTGCTGCAGTCCTGCCCCCACCCTGCCAATTCTTTACCCTGCCCCACCCCTGCTCTACCTACACCCCACCACTGCTTTGGCCCCTTGCCTCTTCCCCTGAGCCATGTGAGCCGTGGGATTACAGAACCTAGTAGCAGGGTTCACCCCCAGTGTTCCCTCTAAGCAGCGCAGCAGCACAGCTTCACAGGTGATTAATCAGCCCCGCCCAGTCAGAGGCTCAGGGCTTGGTGCAGGGAGCTGACTGACTTAGAGGGAACATTGGTCACCCCCATACACACTCATCGTGGCTGTGAGAGCCGGAACAGCCCAGCACCTGCTCTGCCTTGCCACCCTCCCAGTCTGCCACAGGGCTGTACTTCCTGCTGCTGCAGTGAAGCAGACTGCAGCCAGCTGGGAGAGGGCTGTGGAGCAGAGCAGGCTGCTGGGCCACTTCGGATCCCACCATTGCGGTGAGTGTGTGGTGTGACCCCTGTTGCTGCCTCACACCAGGCCCCCATAATCTCCCAGGTCTGTCTCACCCATAGGACGGTTGCTTCCTGCTGCTGCAGTGAAGCAGACTGCAGCCAGCTGGGAGAGGGCTGTGGAGCAGAGCAGGCTGCTGGGCCACTTCGGATCCCACCATTGCGGTGAGTGTGTGGTGTGACCCCTGTTGCTGCCTCACACCAGGCCCCCATAATCTCCCAGGTCTGTCTCACCCATAGGACGGTTGAGGCATCTGCCACATGGCCCCCAAAGCGTGGGGCTGCCTCAATCTGTCCTATAGCTTTGTATAGGGTAGATCATTATGATAATAGAGCTATTTCCCATTCTCTTCTACAATATCCTTTACTGGCTATTGCAGCAGATGGGATAACTAGACTTAGCTGGACCATTGGCCTGAGTCAATGAATGAGAAAGTTTGAATGCAAGACAGAGCCCAGTGCATGAGTTTGAAAAAGAGAGACACAGGCAAAATATTTGCATATGGGGCTGTTATGTTTTCTGTAATTCCACAGACTCAAAGTTGTTCTTTGGGCTCCAAGCGGGCAGCACGATCCCAGGGGAAAGAGAGAATGGAACTCACATGACGTGGAAAACAGTGCTTCAAGTGGATGAATTGTTGTTCAGTGGCTAAAGAGGAGTTTAGACGCATTTTGCTGGGTTCAGTTCTTTGACACTAATGTACTGTCAAGTTCAGGTACCAATACAGCACATGCTTAACTTTAAGCACATTAGTAGACCCATTGTCTTCAATGGGATTACTAATGTCCTTAGTGTTATGCACATTCTTAAGTACTTTGCTGAATTGAGGCCTGCTTTGAACTTCTAGATCATTCCATTTAAGGATCCAAAAGAGCCTTACAAACATGAATGAATAAAGCCTCACAAGGGCCGTATGAATTATAGGTATCAGAGCATATAACAACAAGTAGTCGTCCTGTGGCACCTTAAAGACAGAGGGTATGTCTACACAGCATTCCTTTTTCGAGAGAGGAATGCAAATGCAGCTGAGCGAAATTGAAAATGAAGCGCGGATTTGAATTTCCCACACTTCATTTGCATAATCGTGTTCGGGTGCTATTTCGAAATATCCTATTTCGAAAAAAGAAACGCTGTCTAGACGCGGTTATTTTGAAAGAAAACCCTTCCTTTGAAATTACCCTTACTCCTCATAAAATGAGATTTAAGGGTAATTTCGAAATAACAGCATCTAAACTGTATTTCTTTTTTCAAAATAGGGTATTTCAAAATAGTGCCTGGATGCAATTTTGCAAATGAAGCACAGGAAATTCAAATCTGCGCTTCATTTGCAATTTTGCTCAGCTGCATTTGCATTCCTCTCTCGGAAGAGGAAAGCAGTATACACATACCCTAACAGATTTATTTGGGCATAAGCTTTTGTGCAAGTGGGTTTTGCCCATAAAAGCTTATGCTCCAGTAAATTAAGGTGCCCCAGGATGCTTCATTGTTCATAAGAGTTATGTTATTATTAATTTTCTAATAATTAGAATATTCTTACTTGGAAGTATGCTATTGTGTTTTAACCACTGTACCATGCTTAAATTTCACTTCCTTTTTCTGTGTCCTCAGTTTATCCATCCTTGAATAGAAATATTAACACATACCTTCTTCACATTTGTGTTGTGATCCTTAATTAAATGGTTGTAAAGCACTCAGGGTACGTCTAGACTACAGGCTTTTGTCGACAGAAGTTTTGTCGACAGAAACTGTCGACAAAGCTTCTGTTGACAAAAAGCGTCTAGACTACATCCAGTTCTGTCGACTAAGCAAGCCGCTTTGTCGACATGACAGTGTAGACGCAAAGAACAGTGTAGATGCAATAACGTCTTCTGTTGACAGAACTCTGTCAACAAAAGGCATTATTCCTCGTAGAATGAGGTTTACAGCTGTCGACAAAACTGTTGAGTTCTGCTGACGTTATGTTGACAGAACTCAGCAGCAGTGTAGACGCAGGTTTACTTTTGTTGACAAAACCCTGTAGTCTAGACACACCCTCAGTTTTAGAAAGCTAATAATCTTGGCTATTGCAACTACAATGTTTTAAAGGTCTTTTAAAATAACATCATCCACCTCTCTCCTCCATCACTCGCACACAAATCCCTCATTTGGCTGGCTCTCTCACTGTCTTGCATCACTGGATGAATTAATAGCATTTTTGGCCAGATAATGTCAGACGCTGGCCAAAATGAAGTTGCATCAAAATATCCAGTGCCATCCCTATTGAACATTGACTGGGCTGTGCATGAGGCAAGCATAATAAATAAAGATTTCTGTGTCTTTTCCTTTTTTCTTAGACTGTTTAGATATCCTGCTCTGTCATCTCTCATAGCCACTTTTCTAGTTAGCCATTGTTAATTTCATCCACTGCCTCTCACTTACGTATCAGAAACCTTAGCAGGAGAATCTGTTTTCTTGTTTGTATAGGGATGAAATAATTCCTGTGATAACTATGATTGTTTAAGAGCAAAGAAGTTAATGTGCTAAGATGAATCAAGGGAGGCAAGCCTCAGTGCTTTGTTGTATATTGTTGTGGATGAATGTGAGGCAGGTGGAGAGGAGTGGTCTGAGCCCAGGATAGAAGCCAGGAAATTCAAAATTCTAATCATATTTCTGACAATGATTCTGACTGAGGCTTTGGACCAGGGCTGGATTAAGGTGGGGACTAGCCGGGCAGCTGCCCGGAGTGCCAACCTATGCGGGGCGCCTGATGGCAGCTGTGAGGGGCGCCACACGCCCGGCCGCATAGCACTCCTTAGAACGGCAATCAGGTACCCGAGGTTGGGGGCCGCGCGGCACCACTTAGAGCTACCATCAGGCGCCGCACACCCAGGGCTGGGGGCCACACGGCACCCGATTGCAGCTGTAAGGTGCGCAGCACGCACGGGAACGGAGCCGCGCATGCATCGCGCGCCTGCTGCACAGGAATGGCTTGAGCCGGCCCTGCTTTGGACAACCCACTTAATCGCTCTCCCTTGGCTTCCCAATGTATATAAAATGGTACCAATACTTACCTACCTCACAAGGGAGAGATTGGCTAGTATGAATTAATAAATTAATGTTTTAATTCAGTTTGGAAAATGGTTGTTTGTCTAAACATTTTTGTTGTGCCAGATTTACAAGGAATCTAATGTATTAGAGGCAATCAGTCAGGTGTCAATTCTGCGTATAATAGGGAAAGTAGAACATGTTACATAGAATCATAGAACTGGAAAGGGACCTTGAGAGATCATTGAGTCTAGCCCCTTCCCTCTCAGCAGAACCAAGCACTGTCTTGACAGGTGTCGGTCTCACCTGCTCTGAAATATCTCCAGCGATGGAGATTCCACAACCCCCCTACGTAATTTATTCCAGTGTTTAAACACCCCGACGGGTAGGAAGCTTTTCCTAATGTCCAGCCTAAACCTCCCTTGCTGCAGTTTAAGCCCATTGCTTCTTGTCCTGTCCTCAGAGGCCAAGGGGAACAAGTTTTCTCCCTCCTCCTTGTGACACCCTTTTAGATACTTGAAAACTGCTATCATGTCCCCCCTCAGTCTTCTCTTTTCTAAACTAAACAAGCCCAGTTCTTTCAGTCTTCCCTCAGAGGTCATGTTCTCTAGACCTTTAATCATTTTTATTGCTCTTCTCTGGACCTTCTCCAATTTTTCCACATCTTTTCTGAAGTATGGTGCCGAGAATTGGACACAATACTCCAATTGAGGCCTAATCAGTGCAGAGTAGAATGGAAGAATAACTTCTGGTGTCTTGCTCACAACACTCCTGTTCATGCAACCCAGAATCATGTCTGCTTTTTTTGCAACAGTGTCACACTGTTGAGTCATATTTAGCTTGTTGTCCACTATGATCCCTAAATCCCTTTCAGCAGTACTCCTTCTTAGACCGTCACTTCCCATTCTAAGACATATTAGGTCTTTTCCATCTTTAGGATCTAGGAACATAGGAATTGTCACACTGGATCCAATCAGTGCTCCACTAGTCTATTAGACTTAAATATCTTAAGCATTTTGGTATCATCTGCAAATTTTGCTGCCTCACTGTTTACCCCTTTCTCTAGATCATTTATAAAAGAGTTGAATAGGATTAGTCCCAGGACAGGACATACCCTTGGGCGACCCCACTAGCTACCTGTCTCCAGTCTGAGAACTTCCCATGTATTCCTACCCTTTGCTTCACAGAAAGGTGTAAAAACCAGGCAGAAAGCAGTTATTAGATAACCCATCACAAGGGAAAGATTTTTCCTGATCCCACACTAGTTAGATTGGCTTACGTCCTGAAGCAAGAGAGCTTACAACTCTTCTCAAAGCTTGTCTTATTAAAAAATCCTTACTGTTATAACTCTGAGTATTCTTATTATCTATATAAATGTCCATCTTTAATAGCTGTAATTCTGTGAACTGCATTTTTATCAACAGAGGTGACAGATGGTGGTATCATATATATAGTAGCCCAATGTCTGTGAGTCTGTAACGCTGAAATGCTGGCTGTTCCCTCTGGGCGGCCCATGCTGCATGGGGAGTGAGGGGCCCAAACGGCCGCTTGCTCCCCCACAGCGGCCCGGCTGAGCGGTGAAGAAGTCAGCCAAGCGCCATGACGGGAGGGAAAGGGGGGCGGGGTGGTGACGTGCGGCATGACAGCGGCTCCAGGCCCCACCCCCTGGCCGTGAACATCACCCCCCCCCCTCCCCCCCCACCAGGGGCCAGCCCCGCGGCCC